CCCGGCTTGCTTCCGAAGCCAAAAAGGCAGGGAGAAAGCACGGGAAGTTCAAACTTCCCACACTTTCTCCCTGCCTTTTTGGCTTCGGAGGTTTCAGAAGGCTTCCTCCAATGTCGGAGGAAGCCTTTTGAAAGCTCCAAAGGCAGGGGGGAAGGGCAGGAAATTAGAATTTCCCGCCCTTTCTCCCCGCCTTTTGGGTTCATAACTTGATCTGCATTCGCAAGTAGGGTCTACTACTTGCGATGAGATCGGGTTCATAACCCGAAATGTTCGCAACTAGGGCCGCTCGTAAGTCGAGGGCCCACTGTATTTAGATCAGCCTTATGGGTAGAAAGGAATTGCATGAAATTCTACACCCGTCCTGTGAGCTCAGCATGTAAATTCAATTGCACTAGCAGGATTAGAGCACTCCTTTCTTCTTTGCTACATCTCTCCCCATTTTTATTGATTGGCTGATAGAAACAAAATCCGTAAGTGGGCAATGCAAGCTGGATTTAGAAAAAGAAATGGCACTAGCGATCATATAGCAAATATATTGCAATATGGCTGTTGCAGCATACCAAAGAATTTTAGAAGAAAGTTCATTTGTGCTTTATATCTATAATAATGCCTTCAGCTATGTTGATCAGGAAAAGCTATGGATCGTTTAAAAAAAAGGAGGGGACACAACGACTTCTGATTGTTCTGATGCATAGTCTGTGGTCTCTGTACTGTACCATTAAGATTGATTGATAAGTAACTATTTGATCTGAATTCTCACTGAAAACAAAAATGAGTAAACTGAATCTATCGTACTGAGCACATGTCATGAGAAGAAAAGACTTACTGGGAAAAAACAGTAATGTTAGGAAAAGTTATGACAATAATGGGAAAGAAGACCAGATATGAGATTAAAGGAAGTTGTTGCTTTTAGTCTACAGGACCTGAGCTGGCTTATTAATGATAGAGATGTCTGGAAGCCATTAATTCATAGCTTTCTGTAAGTGAGAAATGGCTTGTATTCATAAGGCCACTGTAGTGAAAAGATCCACATTTTAAAGTTGATGGCCCAAATCCTCTTCCATAGCCATGGAAATTACATAACTTTGGGAGGCAATTTGCGCAAGTGAAGAAATCCCTGTAGTAGTCATTATCAGCTGCACACTAAGTCATAAAACTCTGAGACTTTACTGATCATGTCTACAATGATTTCTTAAACTTGGGGCAATTTCCCCCTAAAGCCTATGCAGTTTGCGTTAGGCCAACATAACGAGGTAAGAGTACTATGGCTGATGGCACCTAGCCACCACCAATACGTTTACAAACTATGCAAGCTTTTGAGTTCTCCAGAACTCTTCATCAGGCTAATGGTAAGAATTGGGGAGGGAGAGAAATACTGCTTGCATCCCTGTGCTGTGAGAAGCATGAGAGATCAAAATAAATAAGTAAATGAATACAAATAAATAAATAAACCCCCTTCCCATTTTGGAGCACTCAAAAGTTCGCATATTTTATGCATTCACAATGTATCCCAATAAAGGTATTACCCACCTGTTATGTTTTGACTTTGTTTTATCCCTGCGGATCAGCATGGCCTTTTACCTCTTTTTGGAACTGATTGATGGCAGACGAATACATTTTCTGAACCTGTTAATGAGGCCACCTTAGACAAACTCACTCAAACCTGAGCCTTGTTTTCACGAGCGACAGAGGCAACCGGCTGCTCCTTCCTATCAAAATATGACTCGTTTTGGACCTCTAAGGACAAGAGCTAGTGTGGCATCCGCCCAGGTCATGAATATTGATAAGCTCTTTTGCATGTACCAGTGAGAGTGCTGGAGAGACGGAGTCACCAGATAGAAGAATCTCTGCAGGTACCAGTGACAGTGCTGGAGAGATGGAGTCACCAGATAGAAGAGTCTCTGCAGGAGGGGGAGTTGAGACAGGAGGTTTTGGAATTGGGAGTTTGGCATAGAGAGAGAGATTGGAGGAGTGGGCGGTTTGTTAGTGGATGAAGTAGGATGTTGTGTTAAGAGTTAACAACATTGATTGTACCTTCATCACCTGTAACAGTAAACAAATTCTATTTAGTTCTTTTTAAAATGACACATTGCCTGGAACTCTGTGATTTATAATAAACAGTGTTGATGTAATTAATCAACGGGTGGCAGCTGAATGACATGTAGCTTTGTGCTCTTGCTTGGTGAAACAACCAAGGGGCAGGTGGGAACGTGACAGCTCTCGACTCGTGACATTTTGGCTTCTAGGTGTGAGGTACAGAAGAGCATTTAGATATTTAGTCTCCCACATGCAGCTGGGAGGGGTGCAGAATTACATTTGGTACTTGTGAGAACAAGGCCTGACCGCCATCATACCACATCATGCTTTTTCTGCTTGCTAATTAGGAGGTAGAAAATTACTGGAGAATCTTGCAGACTACATCTATTGTATTTTCATAACTCCGGCTACGTAATTCTTCCTCTTGTCGTTGTTACTGCAGCAGTACCTGAGAGTAAGGAGGAAGTGAATCCTGTGCAGGAAGATCCCACAGGGCCTCAGCCTGTTGCTGAAGCCTCCGAGAGCCTCACAGATATGCCTCAGAGCAATGAGGTCCAAGGTGAAAGCCCTCAAATTCCACCCTCTCCACCATCACCTCTGAACCCCAATGCCTGCCTTGAATGTGGCAGAACCTTCAGCCACAAATCTGCCTTGTCGAAACACCAGAAGATCCACATGGGAGAGAAACCCTATGAATGTGAGGAGTGTGGGAAGAGCTTCATTCAACGCTCAGACCTGACAATTCACCAGAGAACCCACACAGGGGAGCGGCCGTATCTTTGCCCTGACTGTGGAAAGAGCTTCGCTGTCAGCTCTACCTTACTGACCCACCAGCGGATCCACGCTCCAGGTGGGGAAAAGCCCAACCGCTGCCCTGAGTGTAGGAAATGCTTCAGCAACGCAACAGCGCTGGAGCGACATCGCAAGAGTCACACCGGAGAAAAGCCCCATAAGTGTCTGGACTGCGGAAAAAGCTTTGCCTGGAGCTCTCACCTCGAGAGGCACCGACGGATCCACACAGGGGAGAAACCCTACAAGTGCCACGAATGTGGGAGGGCCTTTGCTTGGAGTTCTCACCTGGACCGCCACATGCGAACACACGCGGTATCGGCGCTGCCAGAGGAAGCCCCGCCCTCCAGGTGCCTGGATTGTGGCAAGCGGGTCAACCACATCACACACCCTCACCGTTTCAAGCACAAAAGTACCCAAACCCCTTTGGAGTACGAAGACGTAGAGGTAACAGAAGAGACTACGGAGGTGGAGGCTGAGCGGCCCTATCAGTGTACAATGTGCAGAAAAGGCTTCAGCCAGAGTTCAAACCTGCTCAGACACCACCAGCGCATGCACACAGGGGAGAAGCTGTACCCGTGCTCAGATTGTGGGCAGAGGTTTAACTGGGGCTCTGCCCTCCTCAAGCACCAGCGGACCCACAGCAAAGGCAAGCCTTACTCCTGTGGAGAACATGCCCAAGTTTCGGAAGACGCCACCTCCTCGGGCAGGCGTCAAATCATCCCCGTCAGTGCAAAGAAACCTCACCAGGGCTCTGATTGTAACAGAAGTTTTATGTGGCATTCACACCTAGAGGGTCACCAGGGAATCCATACTGGAGAGAAAACCTACAAGTGTGGGCAACATGGAAGGGGGTTCACTGCGAGGAAACCCTTGGAGAGGCATCGGAGACTTCACACCAGAGGCCGCCTTCATGGCTGTGAAGAGTGTGGGAAGACTTTTTCCTCAGGCAGCGTGGTAGCTGCACACAGGCACCACCGCAACGCTAAAGCCAAACCTCACCAGTGCCCAGAGTGTGGGAAAGGGTTCAGCGCCGCAGCCGTGCTGGAGCGTCACCATCGGCTGCATCGCGGCGAGAAGCCCTATCAGTGTGAGGTCTGTGGGAAAGGATTTGCCTGGAGCTCCCACTTTGACCGCCACCGGCGCTCACACACAGGAGAGAGGCCCTTCCCTTGTGCCTTCTGTGAGAAACGTTTTGGCCGGAGTTCCCACCGCAACCGGCACCAACGCACCCACACCGTCACCGCCAGGGGCTCAGACCAGCGGCAGAACGACCGAGAGGGTGCTGTTGCTGCGCCCGTGCCGCCAGCACTCGACTGGTGGGAGGGGGAAGGAGAAAAGAGGCCCCCACTGGAGCCACATGAAGTCTGGCCACCCACCTTGGATCCCACCAGCCCCTTCCCATGGACAGCCAAATCTCCTGGTGATGCATGGAGGACCATGGAGGAGAAGAGCCTTGGGCAGGAGGCCCAGAGTTTGACCAATCCTGAAGAAAACTGGACTCGGCTTCCTCCTCAAATTTCCCTCAACTGATGAGCACCCAAAATTTGATTTCCTTCTGAAGCAGACCATTCCAGTTTTTGGAAATGCCTGAACCCTCGTCTCTTCCTTAACCATCAGGCCAATGCAAGGACAGCTTCCTTCTTTTCTTCTATCAGCAGCCGCCTAACGTGTATCCAGGAGTGTATGTAACCGTCATAGCTGTTTGATCCTGCTTTGTCATTAGGGATGTTATTTTTGTATTTAATGCACTTCCATCTCTGTAAATCGGCAGGAACCTTCCAAGCCAAATTATAGAAATGCAAAACCTCTGTTCGGTTCCCCACTGTTCCTCTAGTAAGTGGGAAGAAAAGTGCCCTGCTGAGCTTTAGGTATCATGAGATTCCCCCCTGAAACTTGTGAGAGTGCTTAGAAGAGTGAGTTCAGACAGAGGCTTCCTCCATATATAGCAGTGGTTTCCAACCTTTGGTCCCCAGATGGTCTTGGATTGCAGCTCCCAGAAACTGGGGCCAGCACAGCAAGTGGTGAGGGCTCCTGGGAATTTTAGTCCAAGAACATCTGGGGACCCAAGGTTGGGAACCACTGAGCGACCAGCACAGCAAGTGGTGAGGGCTTCTGGGACTTTTAGTCCAAGAACATCTGGGGACCCAAGGTTGGGAACCACTGATATAAAGTAGTGATGTGGGAAGACTTCCCACCAGCTCATGGGAGTGGAAGACCATTAAATACACAAAAGGACCATCCGTAATTGTCATTGCTCCGTCCTATGGACTCCGGGCATTTGTAGTTCATATAGGCACTTAGCCTTCCCTGCTGTAATTCTGGGGAGTGTACTCCGGCTATATAGCAAGGAATTCTAAATACTTGACTATAGCTATAATCCTAGGATCCCTGACGACCATGTCATAACAAAGTCGATCAATCTGCTATACCTGTGTAATGTAGAACACACTCCGGATGTTGCTACTGCAGCTGCTAACACTGGTGGGCGTGTTCCCATCATGCTCCAAAAGCCAAAAGACATGTTCTGCTCTTCAGCCCACAGAAAGGAAGCTCAGGTGTGGAGAGTGATCAGTTGACATGGTGTTTATAGTTCAAGCCTTCCAGGACTTTTAAAAAAAACTACAACCCCTGAATCTGCTCCCAATTACATTCCCAATTAATTCCTGATTAAGCTTAAATGGGAGGGGGGGACGTAAGCAATCAAGGAACTACAGTGAAGGGTTCTTAGGGGAGATATTTCCAATACTGGTTTTGATTATGCTCATAGAACTGCAGATTTATAGCCGGCAACTAAAAACTCATCAAGCCAAACTTCCAGATCAACGGACTTTCCCTTCCCCTTCATCCCACAGAAAGGAAGCTCAGGAGTGGAGAGTGATCAGCTGACATGGTGTTTATAGTTCAAGCCTTCCAGGATTTTTTTTAAAAACTACAATCCCTGAATCTGCTCCCAATTACATTCCCAATTAATTTCTGATTAAGCAATCAAGGAACTACAATGCAGGGTTCTTAGGGGAGATATTTTCAACATTGGTTTTGATTATGATCATAGAACTTCAGATTTATAGCAGGCAACTCAAAACTCATCAAGCCCAACTTCCAGATCAACGGACTTTCCCTTCCCACCCCAGGCTGAATTACAAGCAGCCGGCGCACAAAGGAGCCAAGAAAACACAGAGGAACCCACTGGAAGGATCATATACAGGCATTGCTGTCCTAGCCCTGCGGCCCCCCTTCCTCTATTGATCTTCTTGCATACAACTCTGTTCCTCCCAGGCTCACACACACACCCCTTAAAGAACAAGGGTGATTTCGTCACTTAAGGCTATGGGTTGCCCAGGAAGAAGCATCTGGCCCTGAGAGCAACTGCAGGGTGAGAAACCCAATTAATTGTGACACCAGTACAAGAACCACCCTGTGACATGTTTGTGTTGGATAGTTTCCACCCCTCCCCACCGCCCAACAGTGGAGAAGTTAGATAATATTTCCCCCTGTACAGAATTACAGCTGAGAGCGAGCGCGCCCCCCCTTCCTTCCAGCAAAGCAAGATGTACCTTCTGGGTTCCAACATCTGCATCGTGTTCCTGGGATCACAGGATCACAATCTGTGTGAAGGAACGATCCATACATTGATGGGAAGAGAACGCCTTTCAAACAGACCCAAGACAAAGAGGCTGAGAACTCAAGATACCCCACGGGAGATGAGCCAGACTTCCCGAAAGCTTTGGTTTGGCACTCTGTGCAGTGCTGCCAAAAACAGCAACCTCAGAATAAACTCGGTAGGCAATCCCAGCATCCAGAAATGGAGATGGAGTGGCTTTATTTCATGTGGTTGCAATATTCAGAAGTGACACCTGCAAAGACAGGTTGACAAATGTTTTGTGCAAGACATTATAAACCAGGGAAATGTACGTGTGCATTCTGTATGTCTGGTGGGTTGTGGCCTCCTGAGCACATTTTTCTTTTATTTGAAGAAAGAGCACCTTTCTATCTCATTTGTTCCCATAGAAATCTTTGAAAGCTATGAGTACAGGGAGTTGCTTACTAAGCATTATGGGGAGCTGCCCATTCAAATAATCTGGACACGATGACTCTGTTGGTGCTCTCTTTAATAACCAAGGCTGTGTCTATTCTCCCTATCTGAGGGAAAAATAATTTGGATGTAGAATTCCACATCCTGAAAAATTTCACTTAAGAAACAAGCAAACATTCTTGCCCTTACGAGTGGAGGGGTTAAGTTTTTTCCAAATCAGAATAAGATTTCAATCCATACGATGCTGAAACGTAAGGACTGTGCAAACCTCAGGAAGAGCAGCAAGGACAACCATCAAGTGGATTCACCACAGGAGGACAGAACTGCTTCTTCTAATAATTCTTACCTTTTGTCTGCAGTTTTTACAAGGGCTTTCTAAAAGGGTTTTTAAAAAATCTTCTGATGAACCAATAGCAGATCAAATAATTTTGCCAATTGATATCAGAATTTGCAGCCCTTCATGTACATATGTTGCTGATCACAATATTCTGCTGCGCATGGGAAAAATTTGGGCAACATAGAGGCAGCCCTTTATAGTTACTACCTTAATTTTGTTTTTTTACCCTCCTAAACACAGAAGACGCATGGCCCACGGTACAACTCCCCTTTCTGTTACTATGCCCTGTTTTTCGTACCATCTGCTTATCTGTGCCATGGTCTCCAGGTCTTTTTCCGCCTCCAGTCTCTCTGTTGTGTTGTTGAATTGTTAAAAATCTGGCAGCAGGTTTTGGGAAGCAGAATAAATTTGTATGTTACTATGTTTCATTTGAATAATTTACTGGATCATAGGAACATGAACTTTTGTTGTTTGTGGTCTTGTTTCTCCTATTGGAATGCACTTAATGCCTAAATAGGTTCCTGTTGGTTCCTTGTTAATCTAGAACTTTGAATGTAAATTTGTATGACCTGTACTTATCTATCACCTGATCACTAGCCATCAGCTAGTGGAATGAAAACAAGTCATGTAGAAAGGCCCAGTGTCCTGAGATGATGGACTACAATTCCTAGCATCCCCAGTTAATATAGGGAAGTCAGAAATTCTTGACAGCTGTGCTCTAATCATCCCAGGATGCAAAGCTGGGAATCCTGTGAAAGACACAGATTTTCTGTTGCTATATTACTTCACAGTCCAAGTGTCTGGAAGAAGGAGCAAAGGAGACCCAAGGTGCCAGAGCCAACCTGGAAAGTTGTTTGTTGACAGTAACAGTGATGTGTGTCACATCCATTGGGAAGGAAATCCTGTTTAACTCGACATTCCTCAGTAAACCTGCATGAGCTCAAATCACAACTCTTTGCACATCCATTCTGCTTTTTTAAAATGTTAGGGACATACTGTATGTAGTTTGGAAACTCTCCGTGCACTTCCAGGGGCCTTTGTGGTTGGAAGGGAAACGCAGTCCTACTGTCTACCTGGGTAGGTAGTGTCCCTTCCAGTGTCCCTCTTTATTCATAACTTTCTCTGACCAAATGCCCTCTAGAGATACTGGACTACAACTGACATCATTCCCTGACCTCCACCACAGGTCCAGTTGTAAAGCACTCTGAGGCCCTTCCCTCATCCAAGCCCAAAGCTCTAAAACAAACAAACCAGTTCCCTGCACACTCCTGTTTGAAAAATGGCCAAGAGAGTGCCATCTTGTCTCACTGATGGCAAGCTTCTCCTTCAGGACAAGATCATCCAGGTCTAGAATGGGAAACAGGAGTGGGGAATGATGTGCTCTCTTGCCAAGATTATTGGACTACCACCCCTCTCCCCTCCAACCCGTGGCAAGCAACTGGGGGGGGGGCTGCATTCCAAAGTCTGACTGTACGAGATCTAACTAGGGACTGCAGATTTAGAATATTTCCTAATGAGAAATGGGGATTTGATATCTGGCAGAGGAATCCCCCCCCCCAATAGGCTGAAAAACTCAGGGTTCTGGCAGTTGTGCCCGGCCTCCCAAGACAGTGACCGTGTTCCCCATTTAGACCTGCTGCTTTCTACAGAGAACTTTTGGGTTATTGACTTCTGGTGTTGACTTCATTTCTTCTCATGTCTGCCCTCCTGCAGCAGTGCTTCCTGGGGGGAACGCAGTCCTTCAGGAGGCACCTTCTATACAGCCTCATGGACAGAGAGTACAACTCCCAGCATCCCCCAGACGCAGGAGGAACTGGTGCCTTAGCTAATCCACACAATGGCAGGGGTGGCTGACTGTCCAGTCATGGTGGATGCTGGGATTCCTACTGGGGGGGGGTTCAAAAGGTAGACCATTTAAAAGCACATTTTCCCTTAAAACTCTTGCCACACTGAATTGGGGGAAAACCCCACTCCAATGGGGAAGAAGGCACAACAGTTTGGGGAACCCCAAGGGCCAGACTGTAGCTACATCTCTCTCCCACACAGCAATAGGTCCTGCCTTACCTGCTCAAGGCAAATGTTTATTGGGTGAAAGTAGCTCAGCCCAACCTGCTCGATCAGTACAAAGAGGCGCAGCATCATAAACACACACCAGATAAACCAGCCTTATATGAGCTACATTTTCCTTTTACTTTATTACTCCTAACCAACAACAAAGATATCGGAGCTTAGAAACTTTTTTTCCGCTATACGTCAGTTTGGGGGAAAGTGCCCTAAACAGAAAAGATGCTTGCTCGCTTTGGATGAAAATAAAGAGGGGAGAAAAGGGGGGGGGAGGAAAGGAGAAAATAAAGTAGTAGCACACTGTGGCAAACAATACCCCCCCCGGAAAAAAAGTAAAAACAATTAGGTAAATAAACCTCTGACGGAGAAGGGACATAACAACATGGAGAGGGCGGAAGGGAAACACAGGGCAGTAAGAAGAGGCGGAGGTTGGAATACAGTCATAGAAGCAAGAGGGCCGCATAGTAGGAAACTAGACCTCCCGCCAACACAGCAGTCGGGTACCTTGCTGTGTTGTTAACCTCTTGTGTGCAGCATTGTCGCATGTTTACAGCAGCGTCCCTGTCCTTCAGATCTGTCCTATATCCCAAGCAGGAACGGCTGCCACCCCTCTGTGGGCATCTCCGTTGCAAGGACCTTGGCAGCCAAGAAGAACAGGCTCACTCCATCGGTCAATCCCCTCGAACAGGATTTCTGAGGTAGGTGGCAGGAGAGCAGTAGTCGAAGGAGGTGCAGCCGCCACAAGAAGAAGGGAGGAAATGCAATCCTGCCCCTGGCTTGCAAATGTTTTCTTGGTGTGTGTGTGTGTTGGTTTGGACTACAACTCCCAAAAGCTCCATGCCAGCGGGTCCATTTTCTGATACTCTGGGAGTTGTAGTCAAAGCCACAGGGCTTTCCAATGCTCTGGCTTCGCATTTAGCCCTCCTGAAGCCCTACACGCTTGAGAAATCAGGGCCCCATCAGAATATGGGGCAGGTTATCTTGGCAGCCCCTCTCCCCAATCAGTTACCCTCCCTGAAACAGGGGAGGGGGGAGTTCCACTGCCCCGTTTCTCAATCAGTAGTAACAACTCCCTTCCCCCCCCACAAACTTTCCAACCAAGACCTTCTACATCCACTGTGGGGCTTCCCCATATTTCCAGCACAGCTGCTTCCTTCAGCTCCTTTCCAGTTCCAGTCATCTTCTCTCCCAGCAGTGAAGCCCAGAAGGCTGAATCCAAATCGGAAGGGACTGTGTTTCCTTTCTTTCCGTGGACAGATGCTTGCTTCCATTTTTGTGACATTTCCAGCCTGCCTCTCTTCACGTCAAAACCATCTCCCGTGGGCTCTAATCCCTCCACACAAGCAAAAGCTCCACTATGATGATGCTCAGCTGACGTCTGTGGCTCTACCTCACCTTCCCCCATCCCTGCTACAATAGTGTGTGGTGTGCTGAAGGGGAGTCTTAGGTGCCTGGTTGTGTTGGCAACTAGAAAGTGATTCAGATGATTGGACAGGGAAAAACACCAGCTAACACAGGAATCGGTTCCCTGCAATGTGCAGAAATGCATGCCTCTAAAGTCAAACCCTGAATCCTACCCAATACTCATACATCAATTTGTTAAGGTGGTTTCTATAGTCACAAAGCTGAATCCAGCTTGAGCCTTTTCCCCTCCTGTCCTTCGATATGCTGTACTCTTTTGCAATTCTTTCCCTAACCACAGGTAGCTTTTTCTACCTACACCCACCCCCACCCCACCTATTTAATGCCTTTGACCAAACTACCAAGAACTCCCAATAGTTAAGGATATCAGAACTGAAGGGTGGTTCCTAAGCTCACTATTCATACACACACACCCCATCATCTTCCAGTTTTCAAAAGAGGGATTCAAGTGTCTCTATTCTCTTGGCTTCTCTAGTTCACAGTGACGAGATCTCCAGGAATTTCTGGGACTAAAGAACCTCTTCTCCCCAAATCAACCTGGTCAGAAGTAAGTGAGCAGCTGGGATTCCAGAAACAAAGAGAAATCAGCTGGGTCTTTTCCATCCATGCAGAAATTGGTGACAAAGCCACACCGGGTATCTCATCTAATGCTGCAGTTTGACCTTAAGACAGCCTCCGGGTATTCAGGTACTAATGCACTGGCTAATCAGGCAGAGCTCCTATTATTCATGGGGCCACCTATAGTTAAATTCTTTGAATTGTGTAAGTCAATAAAGCTTTCCCTCCACGTTCAAGGGGCTTATGAATGTCTCCTTTTCCACCGCAAGTGGATTCTCTAGTATTTCATAAAGTCTTAGTCCATCCCATCAGGCATTTAAGGTACGGAGGTCAGTCCTCGGCATTTGTTAAAGCTTTTGTTATCCAGAGTTCAAAATGATAAGGGGGAGTTGGGCAACAGGAGGGAGACAGGGGCTAGTCTGCCCCGAGCAAAATTTCTGATGGGTCATAGAGAGAGGAATGGTCAGTAAAGCTTTCTTTCCCAAAGATTGGGGCATATATTTTATCTACACAGTGTCAAACAAATGTGAATTAAGACATCTGTATGGATTTCTAAATCAGGATCTATTCTCAAAGGATGCGGTTGTAACATTTTAACCGTGATCAGTCCATCCTTGGAAAAAAAGGGGGGGTGTCAGCAACACTTCTTCATCAAGGCATTTTCTATGAACTCCCCATTTGTACTGTGCGTTGTTTCGTTTGCCTTTTACCAATATTCTTCAGCCGTGTGCAGATAATCGGGTGCTGTTGCAAAAGCAGGTTAAGCATGGGGGGGAAGAATTCGGCCCCCCCATAATCAGGTCGTAACAGAAGGGCTTTCTCTCTCGTGTGGGGTTCTCGATGGTTTTAATAAAGGACAACGTTCCCTTGCCCCCTCTCTTTTGGGGTGCAGCCCCACGGCTCTTTATAGGGTCTCCTTCACATGGCTCCTTTGATGCTTCAGTAGGTTGGCCCGCCGAGTGAACCCTTTCCCACAGTGGGAGCAACGGTAGGGCTTTGTCCCAAAGTGGGTGCGCTGGTGGATGATGACCTCCAGGGTGGTGCCAAAGCTGCGCCCGCACTCGCTGCACTTGTAGGGCCGCTTGCCCAGGTGGCTGCGCTGGTGCTTGAAGAGCTGGGAGGTCTGGCTAAAGTGCTCGGGGCAATCGGGGCATTTGTAGGGCTTCTCTCCCGTGTGGATCCTCAGGTGCCGCTCCAGGTGGGAGCTCCAGGCAAAGCATTTCCCGCAATACTGGCACTTGTGGTTCTTCTCCATGGCGTGGCCGCGCTGGTGGGCCAGGAAGGCCGAACTGTCCCCGAAGTGCTTGTCGCAGTCCGCGCACTTGTAGGGCCTCGAGTGTAAGTGGGTCTTGTTATGCTGCAGGAGGTGGACCTTCTGGGCAAATTTCTCCCCACAGATGGGGCAAGGGAAGGGGCGCTCCCCCGTGTGGACCCGGCGGTGGCGCTCCAGGTGGGAGGCCCAGACGAACCCTTTCCCACACTCCTCGCAGAGGTGGGTGCGCTCGCGGCGGTGGCCCCGCTGGTGGCGCATCAGGGTCTGCCGGCTCCGGAAGACCTTCCCGCAATCCTCGCAGCCCAAGTGGGTCTTCTTGTGTTCCTCCAGTTCCGAGATCTGGGCAAAGCTTCTCCAGCAGGCGGGGCAGTTGTACGGCCGCTCCCCCATGTGGTTGCGCCGGTGCTTGGCCAGGTGGGCGCTCTGGCTGTACGTCTCGCCGCACTCGGGGCACTTGAAAGGCCTCTCTCCGGTGTGGACCCGCCGGTGCCTCTCCAGGTGGGAGGCCCAGATGAAGCACTTCCCACAGTCGTCGCACTTGTGGCGCTTGATGGCTGTGTGGCCCTTCTGGTGGTTCTCTAGGGCAGAGCTCTGGGCAAAGCGCTTCCCGCACTCGGGACATTTAAAGGGCTTCTCGATCAGCTGGGAGCAGCGGTGCTGCAGGAGGTGGAAATTCTGGCTGTAGGCCTCCCCGCAGTTCAGGCATTTGAAGGGCTTCTCTCCCGTGTGCATCCGGCGGTGGCGCTCCAGGTGGGAGCTCCAAATGAAACACTTGCCGCAATCCGTGCACTGAAAGGGCTTTTCCCGGGCAGCGTTGGCCTCGCTCCGCTGGCGGCCCCGTCCGGCCGTGTGGAGGATCTTGGTGCAATCGGAGCAACGGCTCTCCAGGCTTTTCTTCAGGGCGTGGCCACGCTGGGTGGCTTTGTCCTTCTTTACCACGGGGACTATTTCCGGTGGCTTGGGAGCCACTCGACGTGGCACAGGTTTCATCCGCCTGGGGATGCTTTGAGATGTGCCTGGCCGCAGTTCCTCGGGGCCTTCATCTTCCTCCTCTTCATCGTCATCGTCTTCCTCCTCCTCGTTGTTATTGCTGTTCAGCAATTTATCAGCAGCTGAAACACACATATACAACTCACTTATCAAGATGATTTAATTTTAATGGCCTTTTAAGCTTAATGTGTTGTCTTTTAATCTTAAATACCTGAACTTTCTCCGTCTGCACTAGAAGTTGGCATTTAAAAAAAATTACATAATCTCATTGTACTAACTTTTCTGTAAAAAGCTTTGTTATTTTAAAAATAATAATAAACACATATGCCATCAAGTTGATTCTGACTTGTTGTTGGCCCCTCTCCCATTGTACAGCAGAACAGCAGATACTCAAGATTCTCAGATCCTGGTTCTGCTACCAGGTGCTCCATCTCACTCAGCCTTTTAATAAACAAAACAGCAGTTGTGTGCCATGAAGCTGTATCTGACTTATGGCAACCTTCCCAGGCTTTTCTAGGTATGAATTATTCTGAAGAAGTTTACCAGTCTCTCCTTCTGGTGGTGCTCTGAGACCATGCAACTTCCCAAGGCCACACAATGATCCTTATGCAGTATATACTTAAAGAATATATAGCAAAAATAAAAATAAGACACTAGTTGTACCTTAAAAACAAATGGATTTAGTCCAATGTGAACCTTTGTGGGTTCACGTTGTGGGCATCCATTGCTTCAGATACACAGAATATGAGAGTCGGACCACAGGTTGAGATGGGGGAAAGCAAAGACCAAAGTGTTTTGCTTTCGCACCACCCCATAGTGCTTGCTTACTTGCTTTATTTATTTATTTATTTATTAAATTTATACCTGCCCATCTAGAACAAAGTCTACTCTGGGCAGCTAACAATAAATTGCAACAACAACAAAATAAAATAAAAAGCAACAATAGTAATTGTTAGTAATGGTAAAGCACTCTCCAGGCGGTTTACAATTTAATTGTGCAGGCTACACATCCCCCTGCCCTCCCCACAACAAGATGGGTACTCAATTTTTCGAACTCAGAAGGATGGAAGGTGAGTCAGCCTCAAGCCTGAGCCTGGGAATGAACTCCCCTCATGAGCAGAGTCAGCGCTACAGTTTAGCCACTGTGCCACCTCAAAAAGATGGTGACAATTACAGGACAGGCTTTTAGAATAACAATGAGACTGTAATGACCCATTCCAACTACTGATCACTCAGAAGACATCCTGTGATTTGCAACCATACAGCTGTACTGAGGTGGATTCTTGTCAAAAACCACTCAGGCACAGCTATGTCAAAAGTATTGAGAAAATTAATACATACAGTATGCTAAGTTTTCCTTGACTCTTACGCCACCCTTTTTTAATTTACACTGGAATCTGTTAATCGGGCCTGCTGAAGCTGTTTCTCTTTCAAATCCTCTTACGGAATCCGTTTTCTCCACAACAGTTACTATGGGATCTGTACCGCAAATACCTGCAACTGGTTCTTGTGTGCTATTTCTCTTGTTACGATTTGCATCCATTAATTCTGTTTGCGCAGAACTGACTTCCTAAGGCAGTCGTTCCCAACCTTGGGTCCCCAGACGTTCTTGGACTAAAACTCCCAGAAGCCTTCACCACGAGCTGTGCTGGTCAGGATTTCTGGGAGTTGTAGTCCAAGAACATCTGGGGGACCCAAGGTTATGAACCACTGTAGTTCATTCACAATCTCCCAGATGACACTACCCTCATTCCTGTGGTTGTCAATGTGCTTTTCCAGCAATGGTTCTGGGATCCCCAGATGTTCTTGGAGCTTTCACCACCTGATGTGCTGGGAAGGATTTCTGGGATTAGCAAGTCCAAGAAGATGTGGGGACCCAAGTTTGAGAACCACTGCTTTTACACTAACATCTCATGGAAGAATAGACTACGAGCCATCAAGAACATCTTTCTGAATGAGGCCATTAAAGTCCTGACTTTGTATGTAAGTATAAGAACTTCTCCTTTGACAAAAGCATGTATGTGCAGATGAACAGTATGGCTATGGGCACATACAATGCCACTGCATGCAAAGGTGTTCATAACTGACTTGCAACAAAGCATGCTTAGCTCCTGCACACTAAAAACCTCTCCACTGCCTAAGATATACTAATGACATCTTCATCACATGGACAGGAATGGACAGGAATCATTTGAAAAATTCCACAAGGATTTTAGTAACTTTCACTCAACCATTAACCTGAGCCTAGAGACCTATCTACACAACAGGCACACTTTCTGGACACCACTGAGCAGCTAGACCACAGACATATACACACTCTTATTACACAGGAAACTCATTAATTGCTACACACACTTACATGCCTTCTGTTTCCATCTAGAACCAATGTAAAAAATACACAGTCTACAGGCAAGCCCTCAACACAACTGCATGGGCTCAGATCCACAAGGCAGAAACTCAAAACTCATGGATTTATAGCAGGCATTTCTTACACCACAATATCCACTCCATGAAATGAAAAAACAAACTGATACAATAAGACGGGCAGCTAAAAACTACCATCTCCAAGAGAGGGAGACCCTCAAAAGGAAAAATCACAGAACACCAGTAGTAGTCACTACATCTCTCAACTGAGAACATTCAAATATATCATCAGTGGGCAATATTTCCACATTCTGGGCAATAACGATTCCCTCTCCTAGGCTTTAGGTGACCAGCCTGTCTTTGGTTACAAGCAGCTACCCAATCTTGAGCAACTACTGACATATTACAGGTGGTATTTAACAGGCACAGAAGATGAAATTCTGCTGAGTGTGATCATTTGCAACAGAATAGGTCTGTTGGATCATTAGGGAATTTGGAGACAACTTCTCCATAAATCGCACTGATTCAACAGGACTACACTAAGCAACAGGATTTCAGCCTGAGACAGAAACAAGAACCTGCAAACAAAACCAGATGGCCCATCAGGGGCTAGTTTGCTTGTTCATTCTGCTAATGGGATCTATGCCATCTTTTGCCAGCCCTTTGTCTTCTACCCAAGGCAAATGGGACAGTCACTAAGCAAGAGAACAATTACACAAACCTGTCATCACCAATGATAACAGACAAAAATCAGTTTCAGACCACTTCAGCCTCCTAGGGCCACAGTACTACAGATTTCAAAGCAAGTACTGTGGAGAAAACGAATTACAAAGGAAGTATCAAAAGAGAGACCACTGGACTGGGATGTATTCACCAATTCCAGTCTAAATCCACATCAAAGGATTAAAAGGAGGATGAAATATTTTATTATAGCACAATACTCCAGAATTATTCACTGTCTCTGATTCAACTATAGTTAACAAGGTTATTTTCTTTACAGTTCCACCTCAGTGCAACCACTTGTTTTTTTGATAAAAGGATGGCTGGGTGATTAGTACATTACCTGGGCCACAGTCATTCTAAACCTCCCTTGCCAATGTAACTATTGCCATATTTTGCCCTTCTCACTTGGGGTCAGGGTAGATAAAAACTATATATATATAAATCTCAATTTAAATCACGATTTAAATAAAGTCAATTTTTAAAATTCAAATCATTAGAACTGCATTTTTAAAATTTAAATAGTGACTTGAACTTACAGTATATTCAAATCCACCCTGCTTGATGGATATATATAAACCTGTGACCTAATTATTATTGCCAGAGTGTCCAAGTTAGTGAATGTACCCCACAAAAGTCTACACTGAAATTAGTCTTTCAGGATCTACACAACTTTTTTTGTTACAGCTGCTGAAACAAACTAACACAGCTATCTCATGGAAAATTAAAGCAAGTAAGTCATCAAAAAAGAAAAAAGAAAGAAAAAAGAAAAAAAAGAAAAGAAAAAGGATGGGAAAAAGAGACCTGCCCTTTTTTCTACTCCAGTTAAGTTTTTAAGATTAGAGTCCTAAAGGCAGCAGAATCTATTTATCTATTCTTTCCATAATCTATCTACCGTAGTTATTAAACTTTCATATATCACCAATTTATTTCTTTATATCAGCTTTGTATTTGTTTTTCTCCCCCCCAAAAAAGGGATCCTGACAGCCCACTGTAAAACTGAATGAAAAATACTACTGAAGCACAAAACAAGCTCAAACATTAAAACTGTAATATGCTGCGCTAATATAACACAAGAACAAATTTTAAATAATACAAGTCAAAACGTATCAATTTTTAAAAAATAAAATAAAATAAAATAGCTCAGATATTAAAACTGTACTATGCTGTGCTAATATAACGCAAGAACAAATTTTAAATAATACAAGTCGAAACGTATCAATTTTAAAAAAATTAAATAAAATAAAATTATGCAACACCCATTCAGGGAGGGAAAGCACACCTTTCCTTGGTAACAAATCAATTACTAAAGCCTAAGAGAATCACAATGTCTTGACCTGCCATGAAAGGACACACACAAAAGTGGCAACCCCAAATTCCCTTGGGAAAGAGTTCCACAGGCTGGGAGACACCACTAAGGGAACCCTGCTGATCATAGGAGCTGCAGGAACAACCAGGGGGAGGAAGAATAGAGAAGAAGGGCCAGGGAGGAAATAAAAAGCAATGAAGGACAGAGATTTCAAATATGCAAAGCATATACATATACAGGTACAGTATACAGTTTTTGTCTAGGCTACCCCAGCAGACATCTCAACTCTAAAAGCTTATCTTTTTGGACAACAACTCCCAGAACCCACAGCTTGGGAATTCTAGGTGGTGTAGTCCAAAAAAGCAACCTTCCTAAGCTCATAAGAGAGAAAAGATATAGGACGTGGGAACCAGACAAAAACCAAGAACCATTTCTCCAAATACATCTTGCAAAAGTTACCTGTCTATACCTATACAGGCACACACACCCTACAGTCTCCTCCTTCCACTTTTTTCTTAATAAATATTACAAACCAGAGGGGACAGGAAGCCTGAAAAAAAAGGATTCAGTCTTTGCTCTTCTCTGTCCCTCCATCCAAAGAGTAGCAGATTGAGGCCACCTCTTCCTCCAACAGAGAGCGGGAAAGGGGGGAAGGAGGGCCATTTATTGACTGGAAATGGCCACTTGCCCAGTGGGCGGGGCTTTGAACAAACCTCCCTCCAGGCACTAGAACTCCCCCCCCCCACTTTTTCCATATGCTTCCAAGGCAATCTGCTTGGAAAAAAGGGGGGGAAGATAAAGAAATAAAGGACAAAAACACCCCTCTAGGTGAATTTTTCCTGCACAGCTCTCTTGAGGTGCGGGAAGGTTCAAACATGAGCAAGGAGGCTGCCTCTCCCTTTCCCCACCCTCCACAAACTTCTCCAGAAAGGAAAATAATCCTCAAAGTTCTGTTTCAAGGAGTTCTGAGGGAATTTAATTCTCCTGAGGGAGAAAAAAAAAGTGTGGAGTTCTTGAAAATATCAAAAGCATCAGAGGACCCCAATTCTGACCATGAAATAAAAAAAGCTAGATGGATTATTAAGTGATGAGGCTGCTAGTAAAGTTAAATAAGGAGCTTATTTCATGCCACAGGTGTGGGCATTTCTAGACTCATTGGCTCCAGGTGTGCTGGCCCAGGGGCTGGCCAAAAAGCCTCCTTCTTTAAAAGCCACCCCCTTTTGAAGAAGGGGAGCAGGTATGTCTTTGTGCATGTGAACTGAATGAAAAGGTGTTTTTTTAAAAAATGTCCCTTATGGAACAAAATGGGAAACTTCTTCAAGATAAATTGGGTTTACATTTCATTGCAATGGTTTTTAGTGAGATGGGGGTCCTTAAAAAATTAATCCCTAAACGTAGGCACAAGATTATAGAAAGTTTATACTAGGTTTTTTTGCAACCTTCATATTAGAATCCATAATCTATTACAAAGTGTCTTAATTCCCATTCCTGAGGTACAGTATGAAATGTATAATTAAAATTCACATCTATCAACTGAATAAATTGTGGAAGAAACTTTTATTTAAAAGAACTGAAAGAAAAAAAAACTAGTTTATCTGTTTTCTGCTGCTTATCCCCCCAGGAGGTCAAGGCTGAATACATTCCTTTCTTCCCCATTTTTATCCTCACAAGCCTATAAGAAGTGTGTGCCAAAGAGACAGGCCAAAGATTATCTATTTATTGCCCCCCCACACACCCCTCCTATTTTCCAGTTTTAAATAAGCCCTAAAGGCTTCTGAATTCCAATCTCTTTTAGGCAGTGATTCTACAGCATTGTTTTAATAATGGCTGTATCACTTGCTATTCTTTTGAGTTCTACTATCCTTGTTTGGTTTCATATTGTTTTAACAACTTGGAGTTGTTGTTTTTTTAATGCTGGTACTCCCAACAGGATGGAGGAAGCACATTGGAGAGAGAAGTTTTGCCCCTTGTTTTATGTCTGGGAAGAATCTGAAACAAGGTTTTAAAAGGCTACTTTAAAAAAAAATACATGCCCCATCCAGCAGGGACATGGTGACCGTGGGCAGGGTCTACAAGCTGTAGTCTAAAGCAAGATTTTAAAATGTGCAAAATTATGTCTAGGTTGCAAATTTTCTTGGAAAACCAGGTGATACAAGTATTCCAAGGAGCTTCCAATACATTTATTTGGCAGCATTAAATTTTAAAAACAATTATCCATTCACATTTACAAGCTACAAGGTTAAAGGCACAGGAATTCAACTCCATCTTTGTGATTCTCACGTGTCAAACCAATGTAGGCAAACGAAACATGATGCTCTAGCACAGCCACAAGCCAGATCAAGACATGAATACTAACATCACCTAAGTACAGGTTCTGGGAATGACACCTTTCAACCCTTTATTTACTTTTGTGATTGAGGATCAGCAACTGAAAGGAACTGGGCAAGGCTGAGAACTGGCCGCAAAGACTCAAGAAATACTAGTAACAGATCATCCATACCCAAACAGTGCACCTTCAGAAGAATGAAGGCTTCAACAATATTTGCCCCACACTTTTCTCCCAGTCCTGAAGATGAGGGGGGTCAGGATAGCATTCAGTAACAAACAGAGCACAAATATGTCAGGAATGGGAACTCTATAACCTTGAGATGTCCCACTGCCAGAAAACAATCAGCCTCAGAAAAAGAATTATGCCCCTCAACCTCCACTGGGGCATGATTCTCTGTTTTTATGCTATTCTCCACCTCAACTTTCTGGAGACTCAAAAGCCTTTTTTGTCAGAACTGGAAGTGGCCATGGTCCCCAAAATTGCAGATGGGTGGGTAGAAAAAAAGAGTCAGGCATAGCATCTGCAGTGCCTTCCCGTTACCCACTCCAGTAGGCGCAGACATACAAAAGCATATACAAACACTCCAAAAAACGCAGAGTTGGAGGATATCCGAAGGGTACACACCATTTTGGATCTCTTCACCCACATGGGTTTTTAGCAAAGCCCCTCTTGTGCTGTTGTTTTGTGCCTCCATGTCACCTCCTAAATACAGCAAGCCTAAATTGAGGTCTGTGCGATGTTGAAGGAGTGGTTTATCCTGGCCACCCCTGCCAGTCAGTTTCCATGGCCCAGTAGGCATTTGAACCCAGGTCTCCTGAATCCTAGCCAACACACTCTTATCCCTTGCACCATGCTGGCTCTCTCCTCTTTATCACTGGAGATATAAAGCACCCCCTGCCCTCTTGTTTCAAATAGATTCTACAAGGCTACACAGGGGCTCTCTGCTGCAGATCACCCCGAATGTTACACCACAGATAAAGGGTGCATCCAAACCCTCGGGTTTGAGGAGAAGATCTGACATACAAACGTGTGCTTGCCCTTTTGAGCGATGAGTAGGGTCTGTTTATCTCTAAGGCCACATCCCAATAAGAGCGGTCCCTATGTAGCATAGCATTTTAGCTGTCGAAAGGAGGCAACTAAATATCGAATGAAGTTCTCCAAGGCCAGCCTTGCTGAATCCCTCCGGCTCAAAAGGATTGCTGACTCCTAAGCCATTCCGAGGTGCAGAGGGACAAAGGCCTGGAACATCTGGACTGTCAGGAGTGAAGCACTCTGGACAGAGCAGGGTTTCCGAAATTCCCCATAAACCAAAAGGAAGAAAAGACAGAACGCCTCGAAACAGGTCAATCAGAGCACCCTGGCTCAAAGTACACAAATGTCATTGTGCAGAGGAAAGGCACATTTATGGGGCCTGCTCAACAGGTTTCCGAGTTGCCTGGGTTGCAGCCTGTTCCCTGGAATGTGCATCAAGTAAAACAAGGGCCAGCTTGAAATCACTGGATATGTAAAAGAGAACCGGAGGGGGGGGTAGAGAGGCGTAATTGCTAATTTATTTAGGATATTTTCCTCCTGTCCCTCCACTCATCTGCTATTAAGACAGCTAATAAAGGCCAAAGTCTTTGACCCACCGCTTTCATATTCAAGACTTCCCTTAGTGTGCGGGTTCAGCTAATAAGGCAAGGGAGTAGCTCAGCATCGCCCCAAGATCCTTTATGGAAGCTCTGAGCCAGGATCTCCCCAATCCAGTGCTCCAGACAAAGAAGTGGGCGACCTAGGGCTCTCTGGATGCTCCAGAATACAACTGCCATCATCCTTCACCATGGACAAGTGCTAACAGGAGTTGCAGTCCGAGAAAGTCTGGAAGGCTACACGTTGCCCCCAACCGCACTGCACCACAGCGATGCTCACTTTGTTCCGACATAAGAAAGAAAGAACCAGCAAAGAGACTCTCCAAGTATCTTCCCTGAGAGATTTTCATTAAACTCAGACGAATGCAAAAGCTAGGGAAAGCCCTGGCTATTTTGCTGAATATGCTACCAGTTATAACTGCTGATGGCAGGGAAGTGATTGTGCCGGAAGAAGAGATCAGCTTTACCCATTTTTTTATTAAGTTTATTATTACCAGCTAGGACCAGGAGCGATGAAGTAACAAAGGATAAGGATATTGAATACCAGTACAAAAGCAAAAGGAAAGGAGAAACCGATCCTTACCAAGAGACATCAATGTCTCGTAGCTCTCCTGCATGACATCTCGATACAGGGCCCTCTGGCGTGGGTCCAGATACACCCAAGGCTCCATGGCAGGAAAAAGATATTATCTTCTCAGAAGGCCACAAATCTTACCTACCAACAAGAAGAACAAATTAAACCCATTCAGTATTGGATCTCTTCCTTGGTGTCGGGTAGAAGGGAGGTTTGTGTATGCAGATTGGTGAGATATTTAAGGAGTGGTTTTACCAGTTCCACTCCCCCAGTGAATTTCCATGGCTGAGCGGGGATTTGAACCCTGGTCCCCAAAGTGCTAGTCCATCACTCGATCCAATACACCACGCTGGGTATCTGTTCCAGCAAAAAAGGAGAGAAAAAATAAAAGGAAAAGGAAAGGAAAGGAAAAGAAATGACCTGCAGCAAAAAGAAGCTCCAGGAGAAGCTGGAGAGTGGAGAACTTCAAAACCTTTAACATCCTGAAATACAAATGTTTCAAAACTGGAAGTAGACTTCTCACCACTTCCTATGAAGCTATTCAGTTACGCACATGTGTATTTTGGGGCATTGCTTGGGTGGCCCCTAAAGAGTCTGGAGGGAGAAAAAGAATCTAATATACAGCAACTATGGAATGCCCTCCCAACTGAGATTCGTCTGGCGCCGACACTGATCACATTTCGGCACCAGGTCAAAACCTTCCTGTTCCAGAAAGCTTTTACAGTGGGGTCTTGACTTGAGAACTTAATCTGTATTGGAAGGCGGTTCTCAAGTCAAAAAGTCTGTTGGTCAAGTCTCCATTGACCTACAGTGCACTGAAAACTGATTAATCCCGTAACAGGCCGTTTTTGTTCCATTTTGGTTTTTTTCTGCTCTGTAAATCAATTCTCAGGCTGCAAGTCAAACCTAAATTTTGCGGCCAGAGAAGTCTGTAACTCAAAAAGTCTGTAAGTCAAGCCGTCTGTAAGTCAAGGGTCCACTGTAATTGAAATAATATTAGCTGTGGGTCTGACGGCAATTTTTATATATGTTTTAATTGTACTTTAATTGTTCCAAATTGTATTGTATCTTAAATGTTGTTAAATGTTGTAAGCCACCCAGAGACCTTTGGGTAGTGTGGGCGGCATATAAATTAAATAAATAAATAAATAAGCCCTAGTAGTGTTTTCAAGATATACATGAGACATATAAAGAGTAATTTTACCATTACTACCCTCCCAGTGAGCTTCCATGGCCGAGCAGGGATTTGAACCCAGTTCTCCAGAGTCCTATCCCAACACTCTTTATCTGTTGCATCACACTGACTCTCAAAGCCTGCTTTACAGTGCGGAAGAGAAAGAAAGAAGACAGACTGGAGAGCTCTTTAGGTTAGCCTGAGGCTTCCTGGCACCATTTCATCGGGTAAAGACAAATGTAATGTAATTTCAAACCCCTTGTGGCAAGAACTACATTTCAGAATAGGAGGGTAACATCTGATGTAGCTCTTCAGATTAAGCAAAACTACATACAGTACCTTCCTGTCCGGAAAGCTATCCTACTACACAGCAACACAAATTCTCTACCAAGATAAGCTGGTGGCCTACTTCTCATGAAGCAATTTAACACATCTAATTTGTTCTAATGGCATGTAATTAAATTTGGGCACGTCTTTAAACTATGAACAGGTTGCCTCTAGTAGTGTTTTCAAGATATACATGAGACATATAAAGAGTAATTTTACCATTACTACCCTCCCAGTGAGCTTCCATGGCCGAGCAGGGATTCGAGCCCTGGTCTCCAGAGGCTTACTCTGTCACTCGATCCACTACATCACACTGTGTACCACAATGGGAGTATAATGGGTGAGAAATGGGCTGATTATCTGACTTTATCAGGTAGCTTCCTATGCCCACATATTCTTTTGATGTGGAAAAAACAGGTAAGCACTTAGGAAACTGGCTGTATAAATATTGTGCTGTTCCTTTCCCATGCGGCTAGGAGAAGCAGAGAGAGGCCAGGAGAATTCCTGGATGCAGGCCAGACTCGGTCGGTTGTGTGCGCAGCCAGTGGAAGCGCTGGGCTGTTGGAAATTTCCCATGCAGGCAGTAGAAGGGGGAGGGAATACGTTCAAATGGGGAGCTGTGATCAGTCGTTCCAGTGTAACTCAAAACAAAGTCTTACAGGCACCACATGAACAACAAACGTATCTCAACACAAGCTTTCAAGGATTACAACCTACTGTATTTCTTTACATGGATGCAGGGAGATGCCAATATTATACTCCATACTTTTGAAAAGTGGATAGCTATTCACAAAAGCTAATCCTGAAACAAATCTTTCAAATTTCACCAGCTCGTTCTTTTGTATCAGTCATTGTATTGTATTGTCGTTGTATTGGCATATTCAGAAGCTTCATTAAGCAGTCATTGCACGTTTACTCAGAAGCAGGCAGACACTATTCGAAATCCTGTTGCTTAGCCTTGTAAGTCTCAAGTAGAGTACCCCACTGCATCAGAAGGGATGTGGTGAGCCAAGTTCTCCCTACGTTCTACTGATTCTAGTTGTGACATTAGGCAAAGCAACAGGAGTTCAGCCACTATGCATATGTACAAATGTCCTTGTTTTATCATAAAAGAAAATGGATGTATCGAAGACTAAAGAATGAGACCTCATTTTTGGAAGCTAAGCAGGGTCGGTCATGGGAGACTTGCACGGGAGACCACCAAGCAACATAAAAGATTGTCAAGTGGGATTAGGAAAGAATCCAACGCCCTGGAGAGCAACCGCCACTCAAGAGATGACAATTTTGGGCTAAAATGGACAAGGATCTTCCTCAATATGGCACACTCTTCTATGTTTCCTAAGAGTGTTTTCTATATATAGAAATGAATCCACATAAACATTTCTGCATGATACACTGAGTGAGTAAGTAATGATTACATACTGAGAAGTTGGTTCATACCAGCACCTCTTCCAAGGTTTTCTAACGGTAAAGGTAAAGGTTCCTCTTGACATTTTAGTCAGTTGTGTCCGACTCTAGGGGGCGGTGCTCATCCCCGTTTCCAAGCCATAGAGCCAGTGTTTGTCCGAAGACAATCTTCCGTTGTCACGTGGCCAGCGTGACTTAGATTCGGAACGCTGTTTACCTTCCCATCGAGATGGTACCTATTTATCTACTCGCATTTACATGCTTTCGAACTGCTAGGTTGGCGAGGAGCTGGGACAAAGTGACGGGCGCTCACTCCGTCGCGTGGATTCGATCTTACGACTGCTGGTCTTCTGACCCTGCAGCACACAAAGGCTTCTGCGGTTTAGCCCGCAGAGCCACCACATCCCTTAAGGTTTTCTAGGTACAGAGTATTCAGAAGTGGTTTATCAGCCCCTTAATCTGATGGCATTTCACTAATTCCAAGAGTAAAATGTCATAAGCGTTTTTTCTTCCGGATGCTGTATATCTAGGAAACCCTGGATGGGTTAAGAGTACATCTGAGCTACTGCCAATATGAGCTACTAAAGAGTACATTTAGTATAGAATACTATATGTACTCTTTAGTAGATTGTCTTTCTGTTTTTCTATATGACCCTTATGCTGACCAGGATCTGTGCCTACACAAGCGCACCCAAGTGCATGCATTTTAAAGACTCAAATACTAGAAGGCTACACAGATTTGGAAATTGTGGGAGGGAATGGAAATGCCCATGCTTACTACGCTATCCAGATCAACACAATCAAATACGGACTTACATAAGCTACTTACACATTTCTATTACTGTACTAGGGGGGAAAACACAGTAGTGTCAAAGCTCCTTGCTGAAGTGCTCATGAAGCACCAGCTCCTTGCATACGTCAGTCGACTGGACTGTTCCTGGTTTCCATGGCGGCCAGGCTGAATACAGAGCAGGCTTCACAGCAGTGTAAGGGTGTTTACACTATGGCCACTGATTGCTCTTACTAATTCAATAGCCAAGCCTTCTTTCCCAACATGAGAGCCTTGGGATTATGGAACTACATTTCAGAATAAGAGGGCAACATCTGATGTAGCTCTTCAGATTAAGCAAAACTACATACAGTACCTTCCTGTCCGGAAAGCTATCCTATTCCACAGCAACACAAATTCTCTACCAAGATAAGCTGGTGGCCTACTTCTCATGAAGCAATTTAACACATCTAATTTGTTCTAATGGCATGTAATTAAATTTGGGCACGTCTTTAAACTATGAACAGGTTGCCTCTCTTATCTGATTGTATCAGAAAATTGCTACAGAACAATGGAATGATACACCAGTGAAGAACGTGATTAAAGGCCTACTCCAACGCATTTTGTATAGTTTTGCAAGCTCCGCAGGCATGTTTAAATATATTTCCAGCTGTTCCTCCTTTGTGTAATCCAGCTAGCCATAAGTAAAGGCACAGCATACTACATAATATTGTGTGTTCTGACTGGCCTACACAAAACAGGTATTGCCCCGGCAGCTGTGATTTGGCACACATAGACTCCAACACACCCAGATCAAGAAGCCTGGAATTCAGAACTTATAAAACCATCTAACCATTTCTAAATGCAACATAATGGCCAGAATTTTATTGGTATTCATGTAAGATCCATGTTAACTTGCAGTAGCTAATTGATGGGGTGCATCTTGGTTATGCAATCTGGCCCGTGACCAAGATGCACCCCAGTAACTTGTCAGCCACAATGAGCCATAGCAAGTTACAGAAACCTTACATGGACACCATTTTCTTTTCTTAATAAACTGCAAAGAACAAAACAAAATTCCCCAAAATACTTAGTGGAGGAAAGATAGGAGACTCTGCTATGTTGGGTTAGATCCTTGTCCATTTAGGCCAATACTGTCATTTCTTGAATGGTGGTTCTTCTCCAGAGTGTTGGAAAGGATTCCTTCCTAACCCCATTTCGGATTACCCTAACCCAATAAAATAGCAGAAGTTTGTAGGAAAACTGTAATACATGTAACACTTGTCATATTAACCTTATAAATTATGCAACATTATTAATTCATCATTTGTAACTGAATTACAACACGTTCAAATGGGGAGCTGTGATCAGTCGTTCCAGTGTAACTCAAAACAAAGTCTTACAGGCACCACATGAACAACAAACGTATCTCAACACAAGCTTTCAAGGATTACAACCTACTGTATTTCTTTACATGGATGCAGGGAGATGCCAATATTATACTCCATACTTTTGAAAAGTGGATAGCTATTCACAAAAGCTAATCCTGAAACAAATCTTTCAAATTTCACCAGCTCGTTCTTTTGTATCAGTCATTGTATTGTATTGTCGTTGTATTGGCATATTCAGAAGCTTCATTAAGCAGTCATTGCACGTTTACTCAGAAGCAGGCAGACACTATTCGAAATCCTGTTGCTTAGCCTTGTAAGTCTCAAGTAGAGTACCCCACTGCATCAGAAGGGATGTGGTGAGCCAAGTTCTCCCTACGTTCTACTGATTCTAGTTGTGACATTAGGCAAAGCAACAGGAGTTCAGCCACTATGCATATGTACAAATGTCCTTGTTTTATCATAAAAGAAAATGGATGTATCGAAGACTAAAGAATGAGACCTCATTTTTGGAAGCTAAGCAGGGTCGGTCATGGGAGACTTGCACGGGAGACCACCAAGCAACATAAAAGATTGTCAAG